GACTTGCTTTCAACAGCTGCGCATGGATACGGTTCGATGCCTCTTCCTGACATCATCCAGAGCACTACGAGCGTACTGTGAGCTTCAATGACGCCCCTGCTGCTCCGAACTCGTCTGCAAGTCTCGGGCCGCCCGGAAGACAACGGCCCGCGACGACAACTGGGGTCGACAGGGGCGGGCTCGAAGGTTACAGGGCTGTGGCGTCATCTGACGGGCCGATCCTTTGTCGAAGCATGGGCCCCCGGACCTCTCGACCCCTTCCCAGGGGCAGGCTCTCCACCCCGAGCAGTTTATAAAAGGTCTCTGGGGCAGCCACTGGCTTCTATAGAGGCCCGAGGTTGCAAAAAAAACATTGCGTCGATGTCGTTGAACTGTCGGGGTTCTGCGTTCGGGGCTGCTCGGGGGGCACAGATCGCCCGCCATACCTGTCCAGACTGATCGGAATTCTAAGGAGAAGCAGGCCGTAGCGACGACGACCCCCCCCCCCTCGCGGGCCTAGCTGTGCCCAAAAACGTCCCACAGCCGCGACCCTCGATCCCAGAGACCCGATGCTTTGATTTTTTGAGGAGGGGGTCCCTGACGCCCCGATCCTCTCCCCGTGCCTTTTTGAAGGGCCCCCAGGACACACAAATAAATACACACAAATAAAACTATTGCCCATATGTTCTCATATTTTCTGTGTTTTTGTCTTCCCCCCCACTTCCCATATTTTCCAATCTTTTCCTGGGCGTCGACGATTAATTGTGTCTGTGTGTTTTTTCCCCTCCTGACTATTTTTCTCATCCCGCGTCGTTCTTTCGGGGCCCAGCGAGGGCCCGCGGGGCCGAAACCGGCAGAGAAACCCGGCCCAGATGTTTCTTCGGGCTTTTCGTGAGGGGGGGGCGATCCATGTGTCGGGTGTGAGGATACGTGCACCTTCCGTGCACTCTAGGGGCCCTCTGGGGCCCAACAGGGGCACGAAAGGTGCAGGTGTCCCCCGCCCATCATTCAGAGGCCTCCGACGTCATGCTTTTTTATGACGTCGACTCCCAATGGGCTCGACCCGTTCCCCGGACCCGGCTCTGCATCCCGCATCGTCTTCTTCACGGCCCCGAGGCCCGGCAAGGGCCCCATGGAGGCCGAACACAGCGAAAACCTCCCGCTGTGACTTCTCCCAGACTCGAGGGGTCGCGGGTCTGTCGCCCCCCCACTCAGCAACGCCCGATGTGCTCGCGGCGCTCGAGGTCTGGACGTTGGCCGCCGCCGCTCACGCGCCGCGCCTGGCGCGCCGCCCCAGGGGAAGTCCGCGCGGCCGCCGTCCCGCCCGCGGGCGGGCCGGCCTGGGGCTCCGGAGGGGGACGCCGTGACCCGCGCCTCGCGGCGGGAGGAAGGGGGGGGGGGGCCCCCACCCAGGGCGGGGGCGTCTTTCTCCCTCCTCCCCCCCTCCCTCCCTTGTCCCCCCCCCCCTTCCCTGTTCCTCCTCGCCCCCCTCCTCCCTCCCTCCTCCGCCTTCCTCCTCCCTCCTCCTTCTCGCACTCATCCCTCCGCCTCCCGCCGTGGTCCGCGCCTCGCGGCGGGAGGAGGAACGGCCCGCCCGGGGAGAGAGGGGGGGGGTCGCATCCTCGCGGACAATGCGGGCAGATCCGCCGCCGCTCGTCATCTGCTGGCGGCGCCTCCCGCCAGAACCGCTTGCGGGCCTCAGGGGCTGTCGGCGAGAAGACCTGCGACGAAAGATTGCCCGAACGCTGGGAGACTCCTCGCCGTTTTTGGGTCAGGGGTCAACTATCCTGAGCTCCTTGCGTCGTGAACCAGTCAAGAGGGGAAAAAACACACAGACACAATGATTCGTCGATTCCCAGAAAATATGCGAAAATATGGGAAGTGGGGGCGAAGACAAAAACACAGAAAATATGGGAAAATATGGGGAATCATTTTATTTGTGTGTATTTATTTGTGTGTCCCAGGGCCCCTCCAGTGTCGACGGCAATGTTTTGTGCCGTTCTCGGCCCCAGAGGAGGCCCTCACCAGGCCTCAGGGCCGTGATCCAGCCAGCTCGGGATGAGGAGCTGGTCCCCGTGACGGGGTCCAGCCCTCTGGGGAGCCACGCTATGAGCCAACATCGGCGCCGGAGGTTTGGGCGTACACCTGCACCATCAGGCCAATCGTGGGCCCAGGGTCGGCGCGCAGCTCATATGCCTCCCTGGCAGCGCTGGGAGGGCGTATGCACCGATTCCGGGCCCATGGTGGGTCTGGCCAGGGGCGGCGTATGTGTATCCGCTCCAGGCAGCTAGACCTGGGGCCTCGCGGGGCTCCTGAAAAGGGGTCTGTGGGGATGGGTCGCAGCAGGAGTAATAGGAGGAGGGGGGGGAGGGGGAGCAGGAGTAGGAGGAGAGGGAGGGGGAGTTGAAGGAGGGGGAGTAGGAGAAGGAGGCGGCAGGAAGGATGAAGAAGGAGGAGCACGGTGCACAGGAGTCCACCAGGATCCTCGGAAACGTTCGCGCACGCGCACGCGCTCGCGCGCGCGCTCCCGCGACCGTTCCGCCGGGATCGCGGCCCCGCACATTCCCTCTGGGCAGCCCGCAGAAGACGCACGCGCCCTGCCACGTCCGCAGATAGGGCCCCCCCCCGTCCGCGAGGCCAGCCTCGTGCCCCGAACGCCCGTGCTGAGCGCGCTTTCGAAACCAGCGCGGGCTCATGTGCGTGCGCGTCGATCTTTCGCTTCTGACGGGCGCGGGAGGAGCGGCAGTGCCTGGACTTCGGTCGGGCACGCATGTCGGTCGCCGACATGCTCAGGTTGCAGGAAAGCGCAAGACAAACTCACACCACACTCCCAAGCCTCACACACACACACAAAAAAAAAGCACGGCAATTCGTGGCCTGATCATTCTTAAAGACTCTGAAACATTCCCCTTGTTGAACAAGGACCGACCGTCCCGGCATTCCTACAGTCCTACCACGAAATGTTCTGGGAACCCAAAAATGTTCTAATAACAACATCAATGTTCTTAGAACATAAACCCGATGTGATAAAACAAAACAGACTCCGCCAGAAATGTTCCAATGACATTTCGTGGAAACCACAAAAGGTTCTTAAAACATGGTTTGGTAGGGCTATAGGCGAACCAGGACGCTTCACCACTGCTTGACCCTGTAGAAGGGCATACCCGACTTTGACCTGGACGCCTCGGATCGAACGAGCCCCCCCCGCGGCGCCGCGCGGCCGCGCCGCAGCATGTGCTGGGGCCGCGGCGGCCAAGACAGCCTGCGAGGGGTGGCGAAGCTGCGGAGGCCCCGCTGCCCAAGGACTTAGAACCCGCGCCCCCCACGTCGGGGGGCCCCTTCGAATAACCCCATCGGGCCTCTCAAGGGTGGCACGGCGGGCCCGCACCTCCTGTGGCTGGCCAACCAAAGGGCAAGAGTCTCTCCCACAGCCCCGTCGACCTGTGGTGACGATCGGGCTGCCAACCCGCCTGTTTTCCTGGGACGCCACGAGGGCACCCAGCGGCACAGGTGCCTCCACCTCGACCGAGGGCCCTCTGCTCACGGGAGATGTCCTCAGAGGGTGCGGTGGCCAAGTTTTTCTGTTTTGTTTTACCCCGCGGCGCGGCAGGAGGCGACCCGCTCGCGCGGCGGGGCGAGACCGGGGCACGGCGTCGCGAAGCGGCCCGCGCGCCAGGGGGAGCGGGAGGAGAAGAGAGAGGGAGCGGCCGCGGAGAAGGGGGGCGGAGCGCGGGGGCACCGCTCACGAAGCGAGGCTGCGGGGAGCGCGCGGGGGCACGGAGTCCAAGACAGGCATGCACAACGACTGGTGTGAAGGGGAACTGGAACGCACAAATAAATACACACAAATAAAAATATCCCCCATACTTTCCCATATTTTCTGGGTTTCTGTCTTCCCCCCCACTTCCCATATTTTCCCATAATGGTGGTCCGGCCCGACATCGAAACGGCCCTCGCACGGAAAATGCGGGGGAGTGGGGGTGGGCTGGGGCGTCCTGTCAATCCCGGCTGCGCCCAGGCTCCAGACCTACAGACCACTCGCAAAGCGACCGCTCCTCGTGCATGAGGGGGGGAGGTTAACGCCGCTGTCTCGGGAAAGATTCGCTGACGCCAGACCGATACCAAGCCGGCCGAGAGAACGAAGGAGGGCCAGTCGAGACAACGGCGGGCCTACCGGGGCCTTCTGGAAGCTTCTCGTCGCCACGGCTGGATCCGCCTCGAAAGCGGGTCAGGGTGACCTCCGGAGGGGGTCCAGCACTTGACTTCGAGCGGATTCGGGCTGGGCGGGAGGGCCGCCGCGCCGTTTCTCGCCGTTGCCTCAGCTACCCCTCCTCCGGGAGTGGACAACGACCAAAAAATCACGCATTCGGCACAACTTGGCACGGCTTTGCAGTGCTGGCGATGGTCAGCAGGCACTCGCGCTCCCATTGCAGCGTGGGTGTAATGATCGTGGCCATGTCTGCATCGTGCCCCCGGCCCAACTTTACTCGTCGGCAGCGTCCTAAAATGCCCGAATCGACTCCGTCGTCGCGGGGTCCAGGGGCGTACACCCTGCGAAATGCTTTAGAAATCAAGGGTTAAGAAATTCATAGTCTCAGAACTTGACTAAAAACCCTAAAGTTCCATTAAAATCTTAGGATTTACGTTGAGACGTTAAGAATTTTCGAGACTCTGGCCGAAAACTTAGGTTTTCTAAAGCATCGCCTAAGGTGTAGCTCCGCAGCAGTGCCTAGTCGACGCCTTCGACGGTCGGCGGGGCGAGAGCGGGGATAGTGCGAGAACTCAGACGCGCTAATCTTGACGAGGCCGGCGCGCCCCCCGAAAACGCCTACCCCGGCGCCTCGAAGACGGCTGATCTCGGTCTAAATTCCTGCCGGCGCCCATGAGTATGACTACCTACCAGACCACCCCAACCCAACCCGAAGACCCGAATTACGGGTTGGGGGGGGTAAGGGTTCCACGCGTGTTTTTTTCGATGTTTCCCGACCCCCCCCAACTGGAAATCGAGGGTAAATCTGAGCCTTCGGGTTGGGTTGGGGTGGTTTGGTGGGTGGTGAGAGTAAGTGTGGATACGTCTGAACTCCCAGTGGCCGAGACATGTTGGTCAATATCCACAGCGTCGTGGGCACCAGGGGCGTGACTCCGCAGCAGCGGGTACCCAAACACCCGTCGCCGCAAAACAAAACCAAGACGTCGTGATGAACGGTCAATGACCTCAGATCTTCACTGTTTGATCTTTTTTGTATGAGGAAGATCTGTGGGAGCCCCTGGGACAAGAGACAAGGCGAAAACAACCGTAGATGTGTTGATCTTTGTTGTACGGCGCCTCGATACCACGGTATTGTTCTCTGACCTTCTAGTTGCACGCTTCGCAAACCTGGAAGATTAGCTGCAAGGATGTTGAACCCTCTCGAACCCGAAACCCGCTCAAGACGGATCCCAGGACCTCCCTCCTTCCAGGCGCCACCCCGAACCGATTCCCGAGCCGCGCAAAGCCGTGCTGACGAGGGGGGCTCCCGAGAGCCGAGAAAACGCGAGAAGCGAGTTAGGGAAAGGACGAGGAGGAGGCATCGCCCATGAGCACGTGTTTTCTAGGATTCGCGATACAAGCCGTTACCGGGAATGCCCCCCTCATCCCTCACCACACATGGTAACGTCACAGTCCGCGCTGGCGCCGTTTGGAAATGGCTAGGGGTAGGTCATTCTCAGACGGCGCCGCAAATCGCGACGTTACCAACCCCCCACGCCCCCCCATCCCCCCGCAGATAACGGGCGTCATCGTCAGAGAAATCTAGATCGGGTCCCATGCTAATCTTCTCTGTGCCGTTCCAATGTTGTCGGATAGTGGATGACTTCTGGCATGAGGGAAACGGAGACTGAGGACAATGGGTCTAGGACCCCCCCTTTGGAAACACGTTCAATCCCGACTTGCTCTTTTGACGGTCCTGGGGCCAAGGGAGTGTCCCAAGGAACAGACAGCGACGAAACACCCAAACCTACGGACCCCTCAGCGTGGGGACACTCCCTCTTGTCAATGCGAGGGGATTGGAGGAGGAACGGAAAACAGAGACACAATTACACCAGAGAAAACCCAATCAGTGGATGGTTTTCGCTGGAGAAATCGACCAGGAACCGGGGAGCGCGGGAACCCAGAACACCGAAATCGGCCCGAAACCAATAACTGGGAACCCCGGAACCCGAAACCGGGAACCCGGGAACCGGGAACCCAGGAACCCAGCGTGCGACCAGAATCGGCGGGACACTTCCGCCAACTCTCTGAACGTCCGCGAGGACCCCTTCCGTGGAAGCACTGATTGGGGAATCAACTTTCAGAGGGCCGCGCAGATGTCTTGGATCGGTGCCTGCCCCCTGCTGGATTCTCTGGTTGACTGTTTGAGTGCAAGACTGCTGTCTCTGGCATGCTTCGGCGTGCCAGGGCTCAGCGGTTGAGTACAAACCTGGTTGATCCTGCCAGTAGTCATATGCTTGTCTCAAAGGTTAAGCCATGCATGTCTCAGTATAAGCTTCTATACGGCGAAACTGCGAATGGCATATTAATACACTTGTAGTTTATTTGATGGTCACCTCCCCCTCTCCCTGCCGCGCCCTTTTCGCGCCCAGGGGCGGCGCTGGGGTGGCGCGGGGATGGCGCCGCCAGGGGCCCCACGCCGCTCCCAGGAGTCGCTGCGGAGGCTCGACAGTTTGTGCTCATGCAGCTTTTCGTTGCTGAAGGGGCCCTGGGACACACAAGCAAGTAGACACAAACCACAGGATTCTCCATACCTTCCCATCTTTTCTGGGTTTTCGTCTTCCCCCCCACTTCCCATATTTTCCCACACTCTCTTGGGACTCGACGATTCATTGTGTCCGTGTGTTTTTTCCCCCTCCTGATTCTTCTTCTTCTGTGAGAGGAGGAAGACCGAAGAAGACCCCTCCCAGTTATAGCCTCTCACCTTCTTGGTGCTGCCGCTGCCCGTTCCCGGTCGTTACTCCTGGGGGGTGGGCCCTTGGTGGTGCTGACGCTTGGGCAGGGGTGGGCCACGTCGGAGCAGGGCTGAGCTGCGATCGCCGCAGTGCGCGCGCGAGCACCAGCACGTGGTGGGGCGGGGTCCCGCCCCCGCCCTCCCCCCACTCCCGCCCCCCAGAGCACGATCGCTACCGTTTGCCGGGGGGGGGGAGCAACTTGTGCCCAGGTGACAAGCGCCACGCGCCAGTGGCGCCAGAGGGTACATCAGGCAAGGCAAGGTCGAAACTGCGACGGCCAAGATCAATGAACATCGAGTCGGGAAGTCTGATCGAAGCGGAGAGTGCGCCGGATCGAGACGCATCGGCACGGCATTGGAATCGAATCGGATCGGCCGCGCCGGGATGCACAACGGCGCCCACGCAAATATCGGGCGAAGCATAAACTTCCGACGGTGCGCGCGGAGCGCGCCAGGGGCGGCGGCGCCAGAGGCGCCGCCAGGGAAAAGCAGCACAGATCCAAGAAATCTGCGCGGAACTCCGAAAGATCAGGTACCGAGCATCGGATCGTCGGATCGGGCCGGCCGGCACCGATCTCGCACCCGACCGGCCGCGCCGGGACACACAGCGGCGCCCACGTGAGCACCGGACCTCATCGGACCGTCGCAAATCGGAACCGAATCGGGTCGGGCCTGCCGGTACCGAGCGGCGGCGCCGGGTCGCAAAGATGGCCGCGCGTCGCGCACCGCGGGGCGCGGCTCGCTAACCTGGGTGGTCTGGGCTCGCGGAGAGGTCGAGGAGGCATCCATGTCGGATCGAGGAGAGGTCCAGGAGGTCGAGGCGGTGGGACGAACTGGAGCCGCCGGGGCCGCCCCCCTCGGGCCCGCAGGAGGGCGCTGGGACCGGCGCGCCTGCGGGGATCTCGGCGGCAGCTCCGCGTCGGGCTCGCTGCCGGCCCCGTCCGCGCTGCGGGGGGAAGCGCCGCGCCTGCTGCACCGGGCACTATGCGCCGACGGCTCGAGTCGTCAGATTCGCGAGAGAGCTTAAGCGCCAGTTGGGTTTCTCAAGAGCTCACAGGCCAGCGCTAAATTATACGCACACGTACCATCGCCTGCCGAGAAACATGGTGCGCCCATCATCTCCAAGGGAAAATTACAAACATGTGTTGCACCGAGCTCACTGGAGGCAAACATTTGTTGCAACTCCAGTGAGCTCATGGCCACTAAGATGTTTGCCTTCAGTGAGCTCATGTCCGCTGTCAGGAGTCGGAGGCGCCGTCAAGGGCGGATCCCTGACCTCCTCGCGTCGCGAAACACGAGCCAGGACGCATGTTTGTTTGCTGCCATTTTCGGACTCCGCGAAACATTTCCAAACCCTGGGGCCATCCAGAAACGATACGGAATGAAAAACGGGTCCCGGCATTACACTGGAAACCATTCCCAAGACACCTTCAGCCTAAGAATTCTTCAGCCTGACAAAACCGACTCAGCTAGTCTCTTTCTAAAAGAACAGTCTAGATCCAGGTATGTACAATCTTCAGGCAACTGCAGCAAAAGCAGCGGCAACAATATCAGGCTGCTGACAACACGTATACGAAAGAAAGGGGGGAAAGACGGCACTACAAATCTAAGAACATCTCCACAGTCTCATTGCCCTGGAGTCCAGTCTGCCTTGTATATGGTAATAAAACTCGGACTCTCACCTGGAAGCTGATGTTTTCATTAGTATTCTGGGTGTGTTCGCCTGGGGGGCCCGTTGAATACGTGGACGATCGGGCCCGAAAGGTCCATGCAATGCCAGCTCGCTGCCGCAGCCCCGAAGAACGGGGCCGGGCCATCGCGGCGTCGAAGAGTTGGCATGCTGCCCCCCAGCGGACACCGACGGAAGGCTGGCAGAAGCTGACGGAGGTCCAACATGAAAAGCACTAATCGTCGGTTAGAGGGAGCGGGTGGAAGCATGAAGTAGGAAGGCGTTAGAAAAAGATTGGGCTCCCGCCCGCCCCCTGAGGATGAGGGAAAAGGGGCCACCGCTCGACACTCGAAGTCGAACGGGACTCTGGAGGTAGAAAAGGCGAAACTCCAACGTGAAATGGTATGCTCAATGAGAAAATAATACAATCCAGAAAAATCCGCGGACCCCCCCCACCCGGACAGCCCGAACAACCCACGCCAAGCTGCAGCGGGAACACCATGTTGAAACACCGAAGCCAATCGGGTTGCAAACAACCGTGAGACAACTCAACTTTTGAACTCCTGCGTGGAAGAACCGTACGCGGAGAGGGCCGAACGTCTTCCGGACAGAGTCAGGGGTGAGAGGAGACTAGTATTCATCGTAGTGAGGATGGATGAATGAAGACGGGGCGCCAACGAAAGCCTGCTTCCTTCATGGCAATCCTCCTCGATGCGAGGAGGGTTGCCATGAAGGAAACGGGCCCTGATAAAAAGGGGGTCCTGGATCCCAGGGCCGTCCACCAGGAGCAGCTGCTCGTCCTCAATGTTGATTAACTGTTCTGGGCCGGACGGCCCCGAGAGCCGAAAGCAATGAAATATCTCAGGACCCGTTTGCTTCATGGCGAAGGACGAAGAACAACGACGACGACGACGACGAAGAGGAACCGTTTCCCCTCGCCATCTGGCGCTCTCCCAGCGTGCGCGCGGGCTTCCTCTTCTCTCCTCTTCACCCTTCGGCTCCCGCCCGCTTCCCGATATTTCCCCAGTCAGTGAGCTCGACTGGGACTTCTTTCATTTTTTTCGAAAAACTCGTGGGTGCCAGGACTGCGCTGGCCAGCCTTGCTCCAGTTCCCCGGTTTCCCTGGGTAGTGTGGTCCTGTTTCCTTTTTGTTGTTTGCAGGTTAGCCTTGCTCGGGTTCCGCGGGTTCCCCAGGTTACCTGGCCTTGTATTCTCTCTGTGCTTGACAAGGCGTTCTTCGGGTTGCCAAGCAACGCCAAGCACTGCCAAGAAATGAAAAGCATTGCCAAGCGATGGCAGGCGATGACAAGCAACACAGTGTACATAAATGCCCAGCAATGCCAAATAACGCGAAGCAATGTAACGCGATGCCGAGCAATGCCAAGCTTAGCCTAGCAACGCCACAATGCAACGCTACGCGAAGCAATGCCAAGTAACGCGAACCAATACCAAGCACTGCCAAGCAACGCCAAGCAAGATACCAAGCAATGCCAATGCCAAGCAGTGCCAAGCAAAGCCAAGCAGCGACAAGCAGCGCAAAGCAATGCGAAGCAACACCAAGCAATGCTACGCAATACCAAACACTGGCAAGCAGTGCCACTGCCACACAATGCCAAGCAAGGCAAGTCCATGCCACGAAACGCCAAACAATGTCATGCAACGTTAAACAACGTTGAGAAATGCTACGCGTGACCTCCCGTGTTCGGTTACTTAGGAAGCTTTACCCTTTACCATAATGAGGATCGCGCTGGGTTCATCTGGCATCTCGGAGCAAAACTGAGACTGCCGCGAAACTCGCCGCCGAGGAAGACGAAGAGGAGACACGACGACGACGACGACGACGACGACGACGACGACGGCAACGATCGGATCAGACGATAGTGGGGGATAGCAGAATGGGTGTTGGCCAATCAACGCACGTAGCTGATTTTCCCATTGCCTCCCATGGCCGGAAGCTCCCGTGTATCGAGGGATGCGCCTGGCGGCGGGGCTAGAACCAGCTGCATGCAGCAGCCTTCGTAACCCCGCCTCTCCTTCTCGGGACAATGCGACTGGAGACTACGGAAACTCACGATCGCTCCCCCCCTCCCAGGGTCCAAAACGCACCAATTTTCCGAGCTGCGCCCAGCCGTTGCGACGAGGGGGCTCTGGGAAGGCCTTGCCTCAACTCGCCCTCCTCTGACCATCCCCCCCGACCGTGGCCGCTGGTGGTTTTCGGGCCACAACTTTGAAGGGGCCCCAGGACACACAAATAAATACACACAAATAAAAAGATTCCCCATATTTTCCCATATTTTCTGGGTTTTTGTCTTCCCCCCCAATTCCCATATTTTCCCATATTTTCCTGGGAGTCGACGATTAATTGTGTCTGTGTGTTTCTTTCCCCTCCTGAACTTGGGCCTCTGGCGGCCGCTCGGGACGACTGGGGGCACTCCCAGACGCCTCTCGGCGAGCTGCAGCCGCTGGAAGGCAGCCCGATCGGCTGCGAAGCAACCGAGAACCGGCGAAAACGCACGAAGACCTCCAGCCTCGACCGCCGGACCCGGACGATCGAGGACGGCCCCTGCGCGCCTGGAGTGCGGCGTGGCGCTGTCGGGGTCCTTGGCCTTCTGCCCGCGCCCCCTGTGACCGCCGGCCTCCTCCGCCGCGCCCAGCCGCCGCTGGCCGTCCGCCTTCTCTCCCCGGGGGGTTTGCAAAACAAACAAAAAAAAACAGGATTGCAATCCAGGGTTTTTTTTTGCAAAAAAAAAACAGGGATTGCAAAAAAACATGTTTTTTTTTGAAATCCAGGGTTTTTTTTGCAATCCAGGGTTTTTGTTTGCAATCCTTCGTTCAAGGGGGGGGCGCCCCCGCCGCGGCCGCGGCCGCCGGCCGTCCTCCGAAGGAGGGAGGGGGGGGGACCCTGAGATCGGGGCGTCGCCGCGGCTGCACGCAGCTCGGCCCACTGGTGCGCTCGGACCACCGAGGGAGGTCGGAGGATCGACCTCTGGCTGCCGGCGCCCACTCGCCCTGCTCCACCCGCCCCCTCCGCGTTCTCGCTCCCCCCTCCACCCTCCCTAGAGCTCCCTCGTCGCCTCTGAGATCCGGGCGTGGCGGGACTTTCGCGCCGGGCGCGGCCGCCCCGTCCCGGGCCCTGGAGCCATCGCAGATCGGCCCAGCGCGAAGAGCCGCCGCAGGAAGACAGGGCCCGGGGCCGCGGCCGTGATGTCTGCCTCGCGACGGCGGGTCTCGGGGAGATAAAGCCAGACGGGGTCCTGGTAGGCCGAGGTTCGAGGGTCCAGGCACAACGGCGTGACTGGTACCCTGTTGTGCGGCTTTGGCGCCGCGGGCAGCTCCTCCGTGTCCGTGGGGCTCTGGCCAGAAGGCGCCCCAGGAGACGTCTGGGGGTCGAGGATGCAGGGCTGGCACGAAGAGGCCTTCCTGGACGTGTTCCTGCATTTCTTGGAAAAACCGGCGCTGGAACCGGCAGACAAACTTCAAAACGGAGGCGGTAAACAACGGGCCTGGCGCTTCCAGGGCCCACGAGGAGTCAACCCATCCTCCATCCTGCAGTTATTCACCCGTCCGTCGGTACCTCCCTGCCTCCCTCCTCGTGTGCCCCAGCGCTTCCTGCTCTGCAGCAAGGCGAAGGAACGAACGCGGGCCTTACGCGAGATGGCATCGCGACCTTACGCGGTGGCTTACGCGACCCGCCTGCGTGGCCTGAGCGGGGGCGCCTGCGCACGCGGGAACCCCACGTGCGAATGTCGGCGCAATCGACCCCGTTTACTGTCGTCGGTCAACTGCTCCTGCTCCCTCTTTACTACTCCTCCAGGCCTCCGCCCACACTCTTCGTCCTCTTGCGCCCCCTGAAGTACCTCCTAATGACCCCAGGTGGGCCTCGCCGAGTATGCAAGGGTGCGCCACGCTATGGGACAACACAGCGAAGAAAACCCTGGCCGAACTCCAGAAACCCTGGCTCAAAAATGATGTCGACAGGCTTGTGCATCCGCGGGCCTTCCACTGGCGGAGCCGCCGACGTTTCATGCACGAGGCGGAGATATCCAGCACCGCCGCCTGATGATCGATGTCCCCGGGGGCCTCGGCGGGCGGCTGATATGGATAAAATGGTGCATCATTCAAGGCCTGAAGATGCCCCTGTCAACCGCCTGCCGAGATATACCAGTCCTCCGGCGGTGGATGCGGATACACTCCCGCCTCGGAGCTGTCCCGTGGCTGCTCATGGTTGTCCCGCAGTTGCCCGTGGTTAGGCTTCCCGTCTGCGAATGCGCAGGATGATGGTGAGAACGATGGGTAGATGGTGAGATAGATGAGAACACGTTGGAATGGATACACCTATCGAAACGTATAGCGAAACAGCTGCGCAAAGAGACCAAATACCTGGTATGTTGACAGTGAGATCGACTGAGAGATACTGAGACCGATCAATCGGCAGATCGATCTCGACGGATGTCGAGATCGATCGAGGGGTACATCGCGAACCCGGTTCGACGCCAATCGCAGACCGAGGCCCCCGCCCCGACTAACAGGGGATGCGTCGACCCCTATCCCAGGCTCCGTGAGGTTTTCGAGAGGATCAACAATTTGGGGCCCAACCCTGGGATATACGAGGGGGGGGCGTCCATCCTCGACAGTGCGTCCGAATAGCCCCCTCGGGATGTATCCCAAGATTCCTCCCCTTTTCTGAGCGACCAAACTTTTCTGGCGGAAGTCGGGGATTGGGGGAGAGAAATCGCCTGCGACCGACCTCCCCCTCCCCCAGCGGGGGTCCCAGCTGGCCCGGGGCAGGCAACCCCTGCGGCGGAGACCTCCACCGCACACCGTGCTTCACCCGCCGACGTGCCGCCGTCCTCGCCCCGCTTCTCCGGAGGCTCGGAGCGGGCACGGAATAGTGGGCACTGCGCCCAACATCATATTTTTAGGGCGAAGAGAACTATGCACATGCACCGTTCCTGGTAAGGCCCATCCTTGACCCAGGATCGGTGCATATGCCTTCCTGGCCAAGGTAGGAGGGCGTATGCACCGATCCTGGGCTCAGGATGGGCCTGGCCAGAATCGGTGTATGTGCATAGTTCTTTTTCCTCTGATTTTGCCACAAACCGACAGCGGTCGCTGTTGGGCAGTCGGCCGTCTGTGTCAAATGGGCAACGACCGCGGCGACACCGTGAGCGAGTCCTGCTCGAGACAAGCAGGACAGGCTGTCGATGGTCGTGCCAAGATTTTCCGTACCCAATTCGATCGTACCGAGCCCTCCTCCTCGATGGCGGCGCGCAGATTGGCGTGGCGCGCGGAAAGCGGCCTTCAAAGAAGGCAAGGGGGCCGCTCTGAGAAGGGACCCAGGGGCTTCTGAGATCGGGCGCGCCGAAAAAAGAGGGGCCAGGAAGAGGAGGGTTAGCGTACCCTGGCCCAGGGCGTGTCCGCGGACGGAGGAGGGGGGGCCCAGGGGACGCTCTGGGAGAATGAAAGAGAGGGAGGGCAGTGACATGTGGGGGATCTCATGGTCCCAGCCGTGATACCCGAGCACAAAAACGCAGGCAAAAGCCCCATCCCCTCTCTCCGAGGCCCCCGACAATATGAAGGCCTCCATGGGGGGGGGGCGGGAAGGCCTCCGAGAGCCCCCTGCCCTCCGGCAAGGCCGCGCCGCTCGCGCCACCCCCGGCCCGCGCTCCCCCAACCTCGCCTGGAGGCGCTCTCCTTTTGCTTGTCATAAGGGCGCCCAACAGCTCCGAGGCCGCCGCCCTGGCGCGGGCCGCCAGGCTTCAGTCGGGCCTGTCCCCCCTACAGGGGGACTTTGGGCGAAGAACGAAGAATACCCCAAAAACATGCACCAATAATGCTCCAACATACTTAACACATTGCCCAGGAGAGCCCGGAATCGAATCGATAAGTCGCATCGGCGATCGAAACGAATCGGATCGGCGGAAATCGGCAGCCGAGTCGGGAAAAGTCGGATCGGCAGACATCCGCAGGCCAGTAGGCCTCCAATAAGAAATCGGAGCCCAAGTCGGAATCTCAAGTCGAATCGAATCGGAATCGGAAGCCATCGAAATCGAATCGAATCGAATCGGAGGAATCGAAACGAGCCCTGCATTGCCCCGCGACTAATTTCTAACTATTCCTGAGCATTCCCCCTGTAGAGGGACAGGCCCGACTTCACGCCAGGCCGCAGCTGCGTGCGCTCCTGGGGCGGCGGAGAGGCCACGGCGCGACTGGCTCCGGACGTCAGGAGCCAAGAAGAAGCAGGCACAACCCCTGGGCGGGGGGAGCCGCCCCTGTGGCGCTCCCCCCCCCCCCACCGGGCCAGCCCATAGTTTTAAGTCGGGCCTGTCCCCCTACAGGGGGATTTTCGACAAAACAAAAATGAGATCCAAGAAGTAATGCAAGAGTAGTCCAAAAATAGCCTGGGCACTATCTTTTGAATACTGTTTGGCCCTGTTGGGGCACGATTGGGGTACTTTTCACTCTTCGTCGAACGTCCCCCCGGTAGGGGGACAGGCCCGACATGACCATAGTTGCCTCTCCAGCGGTGAGGGCCTGCGGCTTAACAGGGGATATGTCGACCCCTATCCCAGGCTTCGTGGGGTTTCCGAATGGACCAGAAATTTGGGGCCTAACCCTGGGATATACGATGGGGGGGTGTCCATTCTCGATAGGGGTGCGTCCGAATAGCCCCCTTGGGGTGTATCCCAGGGTTTTCCCATTCTTCTGAGCGGCCAGACTTTTCGGGCGAAACTCGGGGATTGGGGGAGAAACATCGCCTGCGAGCGGCTGGCGCCCCAACTCGAGTGCCGCGCGCGAGGCGTCACCGCTGGCAGCCGGGGTCGGCCCTGGGGGGGGCGGCGCCACGGGCGCTCCCCTCAGCCCAGTGGTTGCGGTGGCCTCCTCTTCTCGGGGAGACGTAAGACCCGGGTACGAGGGACTCGGAAATCCCCGACGAGGTCGTCAAAAAAATGACGAGGCCGAGCCTGCATTTTGACGAGGCCTCCCGCTGCAGACATCCCACGAAACTCCCCCTCGTCAAAATCCGAGGCGCGGTCGTCAAAAAACGATGGCGAACCCGAGTCCTGGCAAACCCGGGTCTTACGCTCCCCCGATCCTCTTCGCCCAAGCGAATACGCCACAAGAGCTCCAGAGATCCTGACGGCCAGAGACATGCGGAAACCTGGGAATCTTGGAGCGCATCGGCCCAAGCATCCGAGACCGTGACTTTCTCACAACGTGGTTGCCAAAGTTTGTGGAACACTCTTCGAGGGACCGGCTGTTCATTCCGACCGTTTTGCCCAGAAAGGCGCAGGCCCAGGGCTCTCTTTCAGCGTGGTAAACCTGTACCCAAGTGCCGTTTTCGAAGTGGGGTGGCGGACTTTCACTTGGCAGAGAACAAATGGTTCCTCGGATGCGATGTTGAACAATTCTGCTGCGCGCGTGTCCGCTGGAGGCAAGTGCGTCCCCATACCGGATCCTCCATACGGGGTCCGCAGGCTCTCTTTTTCCTTCGGTGAAAACAAGATGCAGAGCGTGTTGCGTCGAATCTTACACCCTGCGAAATGCTTAAGAAATCATGGGTTAACAAATTCATAGTCTCAGAATTTGAAATAAAACCAAGAATGTGTATTCAAATCTTAGGATTCGCATTGAAACATTAAGAATAATCGACAATCTGGCCGAAAACTTA